TTGGTCACTTTCTCTTCCTTTCTCTCTATTCTGAATTTATTTTTCTTTTCGATTATATATCTTATTTTTTATCTATCCTTGTTCTTCTATTCATTTATTTGCCATTATCGCTCATTATTGTTTCAGCTTGAATTCCATCTTACTTGAAATAGCTGTTTCTACTTTGCTCGAGTCGCAACATACGATTTCTCCCAATGAATCTTTACGGATGTGTTACGATATATGATCAATGAATCAATTAACTTATCTTCGATCAATTTTTTCCGATCGATCGTATGTTGTGATACGTCTACTATGCAATTTTATTGCGCTTAAAATTAATAAAAAAGCTTGGAAAGAAAGAAAGAAAGAAAGACACTGATATAATTGTACAATTGTCTTGAAATTATTAAATTATTATAATATTTGTTGATATTAAAATCAGCAACAACTCTCCATCCATATTCGTGTCTTTCTTGCGCATGATTTTAACTAATTAATAATATTCCTCGTTGTTACTTATTTTTGCATGCACATTGCAATTTATAAATTCGACATAGTTTGTTAATTCTCTCGTTTGTCCCGAAGAAAAGAATCGTGCATAAAACGGACAGAATTAACGCGTTTAATTCGTTTAATTGTGGGGCTAAGTTCCAACCAGGCATGTGTTTTTAAAAACTGATCGAAAAATTCGAATTTCGACATTGTTTAATTTTTAGAATTAAAATAATTAAAAGTAAACGGAAAGCGAAGATACAAGGAAAGGAAAATGATTACTTTTTAATATGCAAGATATTACGGTGAATAAATTTCAAAAAAATTTCAATCGTGTGCTTATTTTGAAAACAAATTATTTACACGCGCTACGAAGATATATTTAAGAAATATAATGTACAGTTATTTGAAGATTCTATAACGATAAGAGATACTTTATATTAAATATTTAACAATTTTCACTCATTGTATTTCTTTCATTGATGAAAACAGAAATGTAAATTTGTGATGTGACGTTAAACAATATAAATATATTGTTATGAAATAAAACTGATCAATAGAATGAAACGAATCCACACATTTGCGTGTCGCAATTTTTCATTCAGAATTACCTGTTGAACACGCGAGGGGGAAATTAGTTGAACGATACCTGATATCTTGTATACGTGAATTAGTTCGATTTTCTTTTTTTTTTTTTTTTATAATTTAAAGATTAGATGTTTTTATATAAATGCTATGACAAAGAATGAAAGAAAGAAAGAAAGAAAGAGAAACGGAAAATAAGAAGGAAAAGAAGAAGAGAGGAAAGGAGAAGAAGAATAAAAGACAAAAGACACGAAACTTCTTACTTGCAACGATATTGTTGTCGGAAAACGATCGAACGATATATCCCCTTTCGTTTCGATTCAATTTTATGTCCGTATTTTCCTTTCGAGTAGTCGACCTCTTCGATATCATTTTTCGAAATGCGATTAATCTTGTTATTACAACGTACAATTCAGCAATCAAAATTTCTAGACTGTGGGCCGAAGTGTTCCATGTAAGCGCAAGCGGGGCTGGAACTGTGAAATGGCAGCAGGTTTCCGAGGATTTAGTTCCTGTAAATATCACGTGCATTCAAGATTCGCCAGAATGTATTTTCCATATTACCGCGTACAACAGTCAGGTGGACAAAATTTTGGACGTACGATTGGTACAACCAGGTAAAATGACGATATTTTTTTCTTTTTCTTGTACATACATTGAAAAGGCGAGATAAATATTTTCGAAATTGCTTCCAGGTACACGGATTGGACAAGCGTCAGAGTGTTTCGTTTATTGGAAAGACACGATGACCAACGACACATGGGGATTAAATTTTACCTCTCCGATAGACGCTAAACAATTCAGAGAATGTTGCGTAAGTTTATAACGCAATCGATTGATTTCTCATATCATTCGCACGGGATAATAATTTTCTCTTTGCACAATTATTTTCGTGATCGCGAGAGCAGCCAAGATAAGATCGAAATAAACCACGAGATGTAATTATGTCGTATTTTTTCATAATGGAAATAAAAAAAGGGGAGGAGAGAAGAGATGGATTTGGGGATAGGGAATTTGTGAAAACAAAAAAAAAATTGGTTTCATGTATACATTGTCGAGTCATTTACAGTCATTAGTTAATTTTTCGTACAGTCACCGTCGTTCAAGATTTCAAGGAAAGCGTCCTCTTCTTACTCGTTGAAGCTCGAACCGCCTAACAAACAAAAGATCAAGACACGGAGAAAGCCTTTATCGACACCGGCATCACCGAGCAGATCCAGGGAGCCCCAATGCACTTGTATGACACCGGAACAACTCGCCAGATTTCGAAGCCAAGAAGCCAGATACCGAGGTTTTTGCAGTACGATATTCGTCGATATTCACATTCCACGATATTACGTATCGCGTATCAAATCGATATTCGTGTTTAATAATTAATAATTTTCTCGAACAGCTACCTCTACGCTTCCACGGACGATGGCGCGATCGACCGAGGTGGAGATGACGCCGGGTCGTGATAAAATAACAGCGGCAACGTCCAGTGCCTCCCTCTACGACAACGTTAACAATGCGAACGTGACGCCGGGGAAAACGGCGAAAGCAGGGGAATCGAAGCAAAAGGAGAAACAGAACGAGACATGTCAGACAACGCCAAAGACGGCGAACGTAGGCATCGAAACTGTAACCGTTGGCTCGCAAGTAAGTAATTTAATTCCAGAATCCATCGCTAGTTTCGCTCGATTTTATTTTTCGATCGGTATTTTTCATTCTGTTCGACTCGACGCGATTAACGAACATACCGACCGAGCAAAGAGAAATAAGAGGAATGAAATATTACAGATCGATAGCCCGGAAGAGAAAGGCGCTGCGATATCACCGAAAAAAGGTCAAAAGCAAAGTCAAGACTCGTCTACTCAACAAAATGGTAGCGAGATGCTCAAATCAGAAGGTACACAAGCAGGTGGCACATTACAAAATAAGTCGTTGCGAAAAGAGCAATTACATCATACGAAGTCTGCCGATTACACAGATTTGGAGATGCAAAACGGCAATATTTTCAACATAGTGAACAATAATCACAGTGGGAAGAAATCGAAAAGCAAGAGTACGGACGATATGAGAATCGAGAATGCGCAAAACGGTGGGATTAGTTTAGATTCGAACACGTTGAAACGTATGCTGAAACCCATGCCGAGTATCGATAGCCCGGTCACGTCCCCAGAGATGACGAGAAAAAGGCATAGCCATCATAATTATCATTATCATCCGAGCAATAACAATCAGAAGTACATCATGCAAGAGACTGAAAACGAAAATTGCGCCCATCTGTATCGACCAACGTATAATAACAAGTTCCAGACGACTAGAAGCGTGCATGACATGGGACGTCAATACGCCGGTACATTGCGTTTTTTTTTCGATTCTTCTTCTTCTTCTTCTTCTTCTTTTCTCGAATCGCTTTATTCGATCGTGTTCCATTCTTTTCTCTCGAACACTTTCACAACATAACGAGAAACGTGAAATTCTTTTTTATACGTACACGTATCATATACGTATGTACATATATACTATAATGTAAAGATTAGACAATTTTGATGTTTTTAATTTTTTTTGCCTTACGCAAAAAAGTTTTCTTCCAAAGAGCACCCTGTAATTAATTTATTCGACGTTTGCACGTGATTCAACTATTATTGATAAGAAAAAAAAAATTTATGTATACTTGCGTTTACACCCCTTGCCTTATATATAATATCGAATCACATCGTGTCATAATTCAAATTTTTACTACTTTCAACTCTTCTTCACCTTCGATTCTCGGAATTTTGAGGATTCATTAATTAATCGTTTATTAAATTTTCTCGATATTTTGCAATAATCTATTTGTTTCGATCGAGAAATCAAAATTTAAGCGTGATTATTTTTTTAACACGAGCATCAAAATACATAATAGGGAGAAAAGAAACTTCCTTCGTACATAAAGAATTCCTGTTTTCGAAAAACAACATATTATTTACAAAAGTATCCACGAACATCTTCTCTTACGAAAAAAAGAATGTTATCATTCATTTTCACACACGTACATTGCGTCGTGCATACGAATCGTAAACCCGCATACCTTTATCGAGCTATAAATTTTAATTCGGATAATCGAAATCAACGAAAATATTTACTCTCTCTCTCTCTCTCTCTCTCTCTCTCTCTCTC